ATTGTCTGTAGAGTACACAAATAAGTTTTACGTATCAGACCAAGATCGACGTGTTGTTTCTTGTATAGCATACTTGCTAAGTTCCAAGTATTATTGTTGTCATAAAACCATGACCACTTCATCAAACAACACAGGTCGTATAGACGATGATCGTAGATCTTTTTTGAAACGCAGTTTTGAGCAACATTCAGCTCGTCAATCATGATTGGTATGTTGATCATCATCTGTTCGCTCTTACAATAGAAATGTCTAAGCGTTTTGTTGCCTTTTTGAATGTAAAAGCAATAGCGATATCCACCAAAGTACGCATTGCTGTCTATCATTTCCGATCCTTTAATATCCAAGTTCTTGCTGGCATTGTATTCGTTGAATGCTCCGATGACATCCATGGGGTCTAAAAAAGTATCGTTTACGTCGAACTGCTTTACTTTGCCCGTTTCGATGTACTGCTCGAAGAAGAACTCGTTTTCTGCCTCTGCGATCTCTACTGCGTAATCATTCGAATTATTTAATTCCGATTTCGAACTTTGACCCTCTTTATACCACGCTATCCGCGATCACCGGTGCGATAATCGACTCATCCAATTCTGGAACTTTGCTTACATCGATATTCGAGACCTCGACGGGCTTGATCGCCAATGGGGCTGGCGTACGAGCAGCATCAGCAATAGCTGGGGTATTTGGTTGAGGCGACATTTCTTCTATTATATTAGTCTCTCCGACAATAATTTCCTCTCGATCAATAATAATCGCGTGCTTGCCGCATCGCTCTTTGTTGCGAGCAAGCTTACACTGCTCCACGTTGCTTTTAATAAAGTTGCACATTTTTCGTATATGTATGACTATGGTTATGTTTGTATATTCTATATAGACTTCGCTTAAGATGGACTCATCACTTATTTATGTATGTCGTACTCAGGAATTTTCAGCAGCCTACGCGTTATCGTTCATATGTTTTTATGATGTCTGACTACTACAATCCTGTAGTATTTACACATTAGCGGACTCATAATTTTTTTATGATGTCTGACTACTAAAATTCCGCACTATTTACACATTAGCGGCATGTGTGATTATTTTGTATTCTTTATCGAAACAGGGGGGTGTTGCTATGTTTCGATACACTTAGATGATTGCTGTGGGCGGCATTGTGTCCGGCTTGCGTCCACTTTTATGTCCATCTTTCTTTCCGCGATAGCAGCTTTAGATCAATCTATATATCTCAGTGTCCAGGTGTCTATCTTTTTTTTGTTTTTTAAAGAATATTAAAATAAGTAAAATGGGGTATTGGGGGTAAATTTAAAAAAAAAAATTCTAAAATGGATTTCTTCCCACGCTGGGCATGCCCGCATTTATCTGAGTTCATAACATTAGAAGTGTTTCATAACTGATATCGTTGCTTCTGATAACTACTACGTAGTAGAATAAAGGGGGCACCTTATCTGATCTGAGTGACGACGCTGGTACGGTGATTGTCATTTCAGAGGTTTTGCATGGGTGCATTTAAATAATGAAACTGTGCGACGACGCCGGGCAGCAGGATAGGAGCGAGCGTAGCACGCAGGTGGCCGATGAGTTCACCAGCGCGTAACTCTGATGGACAAGTCCAGATGCCGATAGCGCCAGGGAACGCGGGCACATTTCCAGGTGCGAGTCCAGCGGGAATGACGACTGCAGACGGGTTGACGCTCATAGCCTGTAGGTTGAAGATAACTGTTGGTGGATCGAGCAGCTTCGCGAGCGCGGGATACTTCTTGCCCAGCTCGTCAAGCAGATGCATGATCTTTCGCCCAAGGTCGATCGCGCGACCGTCGACTTGATGGAGCGTGCCAATGCCCTGCATGAACGACAGCAATGGCCATAACTTGAAAAGATCCTTGTCGATGGTGCAGATCATCACGTCTTCGGGGAAACAGTCTCGCCCGGCGGCCTCGATCTCTTCGCCCGTCTTCCAGACAACGCCACTTGGTTGAAGACAGTCATCACGGCTGAGGCAGTGCTCTCGTGCGTCAACCTACAGATAAAGTTAGAGAACATCAAAGACCGAGGTTCCATAGGTGGCGGCAAGTAACACCCACATACCTTCTCGAGGCGCTTGATGAGTTGAACGAGTTTGCCTTTGATCTGTAAGCTCAGATAGCTATTGGGAGGCGCATGCTGCACAAGGAAGATGCAGCGCTCGATGACGTCTTCGTCGGTGAGATCTCCAGCGCGCTTGAACTCGCTGAAAAACGTAAGTGTTTCGGCCTCAGTGAGCTTGGCGTTTCGCGGGATATCTCGCCAGCGGCGCTCAGAGACCTGGACTCCGAGACTTCTTGCGTCTCGCGGTTCCTCTTCCTCCATGTCGTCCTCCTCATGACCGCTGCGTACCCGCTTCATCGCCCCCGCTCGTCGTCCGCACCCGCTTTGTGCTGATGGTCGTATGGAGTGTATCCTTTTCGCCTCCTCCTTCGCATATAAGAGCACCGAGAGTACCCCTAGACACCCTTAGAGACAGCGATTTATACTATTAATACATGTACAGTACATGAGAGACAGCGATTTATACTATTAATACATGTACAGTACAGACTATTTCTTTGAACAATATGTAATAAAAGAAATTAACCAAAAAAAATTTAAAGGCAAAAAAGAGCATTCAAAATCCAAGCTTCAAATCACCAAAAGTCCCTTCCAGTCTTTTGAGAGCTACCGGTACCATACTTTATAAAATAAAGTGGCTTTCTCCAAAAAGGGCAATTACATGTAGGTGTATCACCACGTGCGATAACGCAAGTGTAGACATGCAGTCGGAGCATGCACGACCGAAGTACAGTTGGTCCAATTCGGGCATACTTCGGTTGAATGTAAAAAAAAAATATTGCTTCACATCTACCGGTACATGTATTGCAATAATTGCAGCATAAAAAATACCGGCATGAGACTGAGTGCGCTATACGGGTGCTGGTTGGGAGAAGTTTGTGGTCGAGTGCTGGTGCCTTGATAAGGAGCGGACACGGTTGAGCCTTGGCTACAAGGAGAGCCTACAGTACATGTAATTGACATAAGCTACGTAACCAGTTGAGGTCAGGGCTATTTTTTCAGGACAACGTGAATACCGCTAACATGGTATTTAAGTAAAAAGTGTTTGCGGCTTCACTTGAAGAAAAAAACTAGTGTTGAACGGGGGCATCGTTCAGTGTGATGCCGCATCAGACTAAAACAAAGTGGCAGACGGTCTACAACACACCCCTCCACAACATACAGAAGCCACCCGCAAGCTTTCATATGAATAAAATTTGCTGGTAGAAAGTTGCTGTCTTTTGATTCGTATTGAGCGTTGAGCATTGTGCTTGCGGAGATAGTAATATCAGACCTGTGGCTTCCCACGCCGCCACGCACGCGAGGATTAGCAAGTTGGCACGAAAAAGCGCCAGCAGGAGTGTGATAACGCCTCGTTGTAGATGTCTGATGATGGAATTCCAGGAGTCCTGGCAGAGCGCATCAAGGCGCTAAAACTACAACACACGTATCAATGATAATGCCTACATTTGCTCAATTGGCCAGCGAGTTCAAGCAGTTTAATTAATGTGCTCGTTTTTATGAGAATTGCTCGTCGAAAGATTAAAAGTGGATGTTGAAGTGCCCTTCGTAACGGCTCAAATAGCTTGGATTCACTATGGTGAAGGAATTATGTCTAGCCAATCGCATCAGTCTCTCCCGGGTGATGTCATTTCCCGTGTCACTGACATCAGGCGCCGCCCTTGCAACTGGGAACAGATCCGCTCCCTCCCTTCGGATCCGCCGCAGCTTGCAAGTCACACTTTGTATTTGGCAACCTCCAATCCAAGTTCTAGCTCTTCAACTCTTCCTACTCACATCCACAATGGTCAAGTACGTGCTCACGGGTGTTGGCGGCAACATTGGCGGCCACGCGGCTGACCACGCTGTCGAGATCAAGAAGCCCGAGGACGTTCTGGTGCTCACCAGCTCGGACGTTTCCAAGCTCAACCCCGAGCGCGTCGCGGCCTGGAAAGCCAAGGGCGCTATTGTCGAGCAGGCTGACTACCTCGACGTGGACAGCCTCAAGAAGGTGTTTGAGGGCGCAGAAGCCATCGCCTTCATCTCGACGTGGCTCATCGGTGACGGGCGTCGTGGCCAGATGAAGAACTGTATTAAGGCTGCTAAGGAGACGGGTGTCAAACGCGTGTGCTACACTTCGTTCGTGGGTGCCGGATCGGACAAGCCTAACGAGGAGGTGCCGTTCCTACCCCAGGACCACCAGTTCACCGAGCAGCAGATCTACGCGTCGGGTCTGGACTACAACATCCAGCGTGACTACCTGTACCAGGACAACACGCCTCGCTTCTTCGCTCAGTCGTGGCACTTCACGGAGGACCGTTGGCTCTCCAACAGCCACGACGTTCCCGGTGCGTACGTCGCCATCTCGGACTGTGGTCGCGTGTTCGCTGCTCTGCTCCTTGGCAAGCAGGAGAAGAACACCGTCGTGGAAGTAACGGGCCCCGAGGCTGTCACGGACCGCGACATGTTCGAGTGGATGAACTCGATCAGCGGCTACAAGGGCCAGTTCGTTGACTTGCCCGATGAGGAGCTTCGTGCCTACTGGCTCGGCCGTGGTCTGCCCACCGACGTGTACGGAGACTTCTCCAAGCTCCCTATGAAGCTGTGTATCGGCGACCTGCTGTGCTGCGGTGAAATGCTGGCCAACGGCTCCATGAGCAAGGTGACGGACACAGTTGAGCGTCTGACTGGCCGCAAGCCTCTGGGCTACAAGGAGAATTTGCTCCAGTACAAGGAGATCTTCCCCAAGAACCAATAAGTCGTTCCGTTAGATTAGCGCAGTACTAGCGTTCAACACTCTATCGCGTGCTGTAAACACGTCAATGAAGTCAGTTTATGGAAAATTTTAGAGCTCGAAACATTTACTTTCATTCCTTCCTTCTAACTCGAACTCTAACAGGGTCACGCACATACAACTACGACTTCTTTTCGTCTTGATCTCATTTCATTCGATAGGGTCGAATGGGTACACCCAAGGGTGTGAAGGCCCACTCTCCAGTGTCCGTATCGTCGTCGTCTTCTTCTTCCTCTTCAATCAAGTCGCTCTCGACGACAGACTTGGACTGTTGATAGGGCTCCTGCGATTGAGACGATGGCTGGGCTTGCGTCGTGAGCTGCGAAATAGTGGCTGTATCGGACTGCAACCGTCTTCTCCCTTGGTTCGATCGGGTCTTTTGCAAAGCCGGAGGGACGGGAAGGCCAGCTTTGCCAAGACACATGAAGCAGATGTGCATAGGCACAAGACCCACAGCGTGCAGATCGACCTGCTCTTTCGAGACACAGGATCGGCAGACCACGTGTCCGCACGAGTGACAGTTCACTCGATTCGACAGAACTTGGAACGCCTTGTGGCACTCTTTGCAGCTCTTGGCAGAGAGTTTGGACAGCCATTGGGTTTTCATGACGAACGTCCGCGAGTCGAGATTCTTGCGACGGAAGTGCGAGCACAGACGCACGAGGTTATCGCCAAACCGCTCCATCAACAGGCGAGCAGTGAGGCCCGGCGCCCAGCCGCCAGGCTCTAGTCCGACCATGTACACAATCTTCGTGTAGTTCTGTTCGTTGTTCGATGACGACCGTCTACCTGAACGACGAAGGAAAAAGCCCGATCGAAACATTGTACTGGGCTCGAGACCTGGCTTGTTACTCGCTTCAGCAAACTCCGGGTCGTCGATGGAATCCCACAGACAGTAGCCGATAGTAGATCCGTCTGCTTGGTGGATAATATCCGTGGCCACTGCAAGGCAAACCTCTCGGTTTACCATTAAACCAGGCGCCTGGTAGCTGGAGTATCGAACGTACATAGAGTTCATAGGTCGCTTATCTGTTGGTCGACGTAGAACTGACAGGACTCGAGCTTCCAGCAGACTGTCGGACAACACGCGGTTGTTCCGTACCACGGAGTCGGCGTCGGGTACCACGAAGAGTTTCATAATCTCGTCCACCGTCGCGTGCGAGTGGCTCACGCAACAGAAGCGCGTCTGTCCGGGTTTGACGCTGCTCTCGTCCATAAAGTATGAAATATCCTTCTTACGAAGCTTGGGTTTCCACTGCACGCTGCTCGAGTTATCCGACAGCATCGACGCCATCACGTACTGCACAGATTCCGTCATGCGGTTGATTATCTCGCGACGACGGACAGGCGACAACTCAATGTACGTGTCAGTACTGCTGGAACTACCGCTACTGGCCGATTTATCGCTACGGTGCCTCGAAATCTTCTGTGACGAGCGCGGGGGCTGCACAGGAGAACCGCTGCCGGGTTGCATGGAGCGCTCTCGGCCAGCAAGAACCTGTCGGCGAGGCTGGCTTGCTTCAGTACCACCGGAATCAGTGCCGACCGGGCGTGACGGACGCAGAGGCCGGTCAGACTGTCGACGGGGCTGTCGACCATCTTGACGCTGGTTCAGAGCTAGCTGGGGGTCTAAGAAGTGTCCGAAGGCCTCACGCCGTTCAGGGTTTTGTCGTGGAGGCCGAATCTCGTGTTGCGAATGTCGTCGAGGTGCCTCTGGAGTCTGCTGAGTCGACCGAGGCTGTCGCTGGCTCACTGGCTCATGTCGACGCGAACCCCTTCGCTGGGATGGCCGTATATCTTGCTGTATCGGCCGTGAATGCTGCTGCGACGGCTGTGGGGGCTGTTGTGGCGGTCTTTTGGTCCGTTCGAGCGGCTTCTTGGTCTGCGGAAAGGCACCGGAGGTCTGGTCGAACGGCCGAAGAGTTTCCTCAAAGTTGGTGGCGCTTTGGTTTGCAGTCTGCCGCGACGGCTTCGAGACTAGCTTGGCGCTGCTGCTCACTCCCCAGCTTGTGGCCGTTGGAGACGTTGTCCATCCGTCTTGGGCGGCGCTCATGGTCTCCCCTGCGGATCACGGTCTGTGTGCTGAGACAGCGGATTCGCTTGTGAGCATGATGATGAAACCGATCAGAGCAGCTTGCTCTTTTCCTGCGGATGTGCTGTCCAGCGAGCGTCAAGATGCAACGCTAGACAAGGCAACTTGCCTTAGGCAAGCTGTCTGCAAGCTAAGCTAGCACAGGCGCCGCCAAGCCCCTACTGAAGTTGTTGTCAACCTTTCGGAGAGACTTCCGTCTACTGTACCACTAAGTTGGATTCTCCAACCAGCAGAAGTGCACTAAGACATGCGGTGCTCACGTCTCCTTTGATGCTCTATTGACACTTTCCACCCAGCAGATGGTATCCATTACACTGTCTAATTTTAATAAAAGTACTTTAAACAGTGTATTCATGTCTATCGGTGTATCTCTGTATCGGTACATGTATCACTTGGCAAGTACCGGTACTGTACATGTACGACTTGCAAGGTTGGGTGATTTAATCAACAGCGTTCATCATCACCTGTTGAATCGACAGCGCTCTCCGATTACCCCACCTGTATCCCGAGAAAGACCAGCACGTTTTCAGTAAACAAACTTTGTTTCAAGCCGTTTTGGAGAGAGTTTACGGCAAACTATCTACGTCGCCTCTTTGAAAAGGGCGGACTCAACCATAAAGCACCCCAGGAACAGAGCGCGATAGGTTACATCCCATGCTTTGCGCTCGTGTGGTGTCCAACACAATTGGTGGCAAGATCCTTTTTTTTAAAAATACTTGTATGTAAGGTATGATTACCAGTACCAAGGTACCAGCCCGCAGAGCCATATCAAGGAGATGGCAACAAGAACATGTACAAGTACTCTCAATAAAGGACGTCGTAATACAGTAGAATATTTGAGAAGTATTCCTTAGAGAGCTACTCCTTCCCGTCGTGTTATAGCTGCTCGAGCCGGGCTGAAAGATCATCATGCTTTCGGCCGAAGCTTTCTGTTGGACACCAACGATCGGTTGGGCTATCCAAATAGCTATGTGAAAGGGGAATTGAAATCAAAAACAGCTCCTTAAAATACCAGTTTTGAGATTGTAAGAAAAAAACGATCTATCTATGCCAAACTCACCTTAAATGAGGCTCCGAAAGTTTTGAAATGCCCAAAGTATAGGCGTGGGATTTGTGTTTGCGCGCTTTTGTGGCTTCCACAAGTTGGGCGTGTGGCTTGACTCAAGCCGATTGAATGCCGTTCCCTTCACTGAGCCGTTGGCCGTGAATCGATATTCTTGGCCACTTCTTTATCTTTCCTGGGGCGGATTGCATGCTCTTGGAAGGTGATCTGCTATATCTATAATAGCATTACTCCTTACGTTTTAGTAACTTAGTTAAACTATTAGTAATACAGCTCTACGTGGATAGCAGCTCTCAGTCGAATGGATACTTCCCTACCGATCATTGTCATGGTTGTGATCATGCCCCGGCACGCATCCTACTGCAGTAAGACGAAAGGCTATTCCAACAAAACGAGAGAACCAGAAGTCGAGCATAAACCTCTCAACATGGTGAAATTTGGCACAATGCAAATGGCTTTCCTCGTACATGTACAACCGGTAATGATAGGCCGTCAAGTTGAGCAGGATACGAAAAGCTCGACTGTGAAATCCATTAAATAAATCGCGAAAACAAATAAATCACAATACCGGTATATTTGTAAGATACTACTATTAATACATGTAAGCACAGGTAGTACTACATTGAATGTAGTACTACTGTAGTAGCAGTGTACAAGTACTTCGAAGCAAAGAGCTTCGAAGTACTTGTAATAATACATGTACCTAGAAATGCTTCTAAGCACCGGATACAAACCTTCACGATGTTCTATTGACTCATTCGACAGATATACACAACTACACAATCACAGACAACTTCGATCGTTGTTCTAGACATCTAAACATACGCCGCCATCCGTGACGGTCGAACAGGGACTCCCATGGTCGTAATAGCCCACTCGCCGTCATCCGTGTCCTCGTCGCTACCCACATCGGTGTAGACGACAGATATGGTTTGTCGAAACGCACTGGCGGTCTCCGACTGATGGCGTCTTTGCCTCAGACTCGCACGAGTCTTCCGAGTCGATGCAGGAGCTGGAAGTCCAGCCTTCTCGAGGCACCAGAAGCAGACGTGGATAGGGACGAGACCAACGGTATGCACCTCTACCGATTCCTTGGAGACACACGATCGACACACAACGTGACCGCACGCGTGGCAGTTCACACGATTCGAGAGCACCTGGAACGTCTTGTCGCACTGTTTGCAGCTCTTGGCCGCGCACTTGGACTCCCACTCCGTCTTGATGACGAAAGTACTCGGATCCAGATACTTTCGACGGAAATGAGTGCGCACACGCTCGAGCGTTGACCCGTGCTTCTCCATCCGAAGCCGAGCCGT